CGGCCTCTGCGTCTCACTATATGACGGCATGAACACAAAAACTTAATCTCCAGAGCTGCTGTTATAGTCACTTCGCGAGAATTTTACCGTTTCATTTGAGAAAACTAGCATCATCATACTGTATACACTCAGAAACTTCATGGCAACCTGTCAAAATAAAAGTACGGTTTAACATGTAACAGAAATATATTACTCTTGTATTACTTTTGTACAGTATAATGTACATCTTTAAATATTCAATTTTCTATCCAATTTAAATAAAACAATTAAATGATAAAAATAAATATTACAACCAGAATAATCACTTAATTGTAGAAAAAATAATACAATTATTAGCCTATGAAAAATTTTTTTAAAGGAATATTCACACAATTTTTCTTCCATGTATTAATGTCAACAGTAAAGCTCAGTTTGTTTGCCAAAAAATAAAAGGGTTTAATTTTCATTTGATATAAAATAAATGTTTAATGCCTTCACTTGATTTTCAGAAAAATTAAAACAAGAATTTCTGGGGGGAAAAAAAGAAAAGAAAGAAAGAAAACGTTTGTAGGGCCCTTTTGTTCAAAATGTTGAAATTGAGACTTTTGTACTTCACTGAAATAAATGTTTTTGTAATTACACAGAGAGTAAAGTATCGAAAAAAGGTACCGTTGGGTACCGGCACCGAAATTCAGGTACCGATACCGGTACCGTACTGGTTAAAATGTGAACGGTACCCAACCCTACTTGAGATGAAGGTTAAATGCTTACCACTGGGTGGTTTGGGTCGCGGTGGTATGCTTTTCTTGGGTGGGAGAGCTGGCATGTCTTGTTTTCGGCTGAAGGGGTCGTCTACAAAGCCCTATATTAAAGCGCAGTGGAAAGGAGAAGCGGTGGGCCATTATCAGACACATAAGGTGCAAACCGCGCAAATTATGAGTGGGACATCAATCAAAACCACATCTTAAAAATGTCATGTTGCAAAAGCATGAGAAAGTGAAGTTCCACTATGCTTAAGATGCAAATGTAAAATGTGATAAAGGTGTTCATTACCTTTGACATTTGGCTGAAGTCTGCAAATCCGCTGCTGCTGCCGAACGAACTGCTTCCGAATGGGTCCAAAGTACCGAAGAAATCTGGAATTGGCAGAGAAAAACAATGAGGCAATAGTATAACAAGTCAAGAAAATTGAAAAATTATGTTAGACATTTTGAAATATTTAGAGATTATATTATAAGTAGGGATACACCATAATGAAAATTCTGGGCCGAAAACCAAAAATTCTGGATGCACTTGGCCGAAAACCGAAACCAAAAATGCTTTGTAATGATTTAGTATTTTATTAAATAATATAAAGCAAATTTGGAAGACTTTTTAAATTTAACTCAATTTTAATGATACTGAATTTAAAAAACACAATCCAATAAAATAACCACACTTTTACTGAAAGTAACACAATAAAACTGGACAGAATTTATATTAATATTGGTATTTTATTAAATAATATAAAGCAATTTTGTAAGACTTTTTAATGTAACTCAACAATTTTAATGATACTGAATTTAAAAAACACAAGCCAATAAAATAACCATACTTTTATTGAAAGTAACAAAATTGGACAGAAAATATATTAATATTAAATATCAATATATTATTTTTATTCAGTTCTATGCAACAGAATCAGATTTTTTTTCCCCCCCACTAATTATCCAAATAATGTATAGTCCTACAAAGCTATTAGGCCTTATTTTAATACAAAATTGTTTAAAAAATAAAAGGTTTTTATTTAAAGTACCAATACATTTTATTTATTTATGAAAATAAGCTACCAAAAAAACTGGCAAATAAATACTTTCCTTTCAACATACTTTTCTTTCACCATAACGTTAAATTAAATAAGTAAATACAAATGTTTTATTTAAAATAATATTACGGTCAAGGGTTGGCAAATTACTTATTTGACTACTTTTATTGACTTATTTTTAATTTGACTAAATATATTAATGAATAAATAACCTATAAATAAATGAGTGATTTTTATTTATTTAAAATAATATTATGGTCAATGATCACTGAAGTACTCATCTGACCACTTTTAATAAATACATTAAATTTATTTTATAGTCACTAAATATAGTCAAATATACACTTCATGGGCCTTAATCACAATAGTAATAGGATAAAATAAAATGCATACTGAAGCCATCAAATAGGAGTATTCATTTTCCATTTAAAAAAGTCAAAACAAAATTGTAAAGCATCAGTTTTCTTTGTTGTCTTTGTGTTTTTTTTTTTTTGCCTTCAACCCACAGGTTTGAAAAAAAATGTGTTGAGCATTTCCTGGCATCGCCTCAGTGTTCAACAATGCTGCAACAGAATGCTGCATTAACTGTTTACTGAAACAGCAGAGGAATATCACATCGTTCAGGGTGCCAAAGGGGTCTGCGAGAGGACGTATTGCATGGGAACTCTTTTGACAGCTTTTTCACACGTGTTCTCTAGAACTGCTCTCTGAGTGGCCTTTGGAAAAAAAAAAAAAAAAAAGACAAAAGTGTCGCCACTGGGCACGGGGTGTGAAAGTATCATCTTGCTTGTGTTGTGTAAGCACCCCAAGCATGTCCCTCAAGGCGTTTGTGAGGAAACAAGGCATTTTCAGCTGATACCAGATCAGTTTCAGAGGTTTAAGTTCTGCTGCATGCAGAGTTGAAGAGGCCGATCTTTGCACGGTATCTTCAAAGGAAGGGAGTGGCAGAGATGTTATGATTCAGCTCAACAAGTGAGAGACACATGCAGACTGTACCTTGGCCTTTTGGTTTGGGGCTGGTAGAGCTGAAGGGGTCATTACTTGAGAAATGCTGACTCTATAAGGCAGAAGAGAAGAGAGAGTTGAGAAACAAGTAAGAGAATAAGGGGAATAATGTGATGTTGTTGGTTTCCTGGGTACCTTTGAGGGAAGTGTGGCACTTTTGCTAAAAGGATCAGCGCTGCTGAAGGGGTCTGGCTTCGAGGGTTTTTTGAAGAAATCTTCAGAAGAGTTCCTAAATGGGTCGGCCTCTTTGAAAGGGTCTCCGCCGAAAGGATCTAAAAGATTTTACAAATGAATGTAACTGTCATGGGAAAGTCTTGCATTTGAATAACATCATTTACATTATATCACTTTATTGTGTATATTCAGCCCAATTTTATGAGAGTTGGGGAGCTGAAAGCCTCATTTATTACCAAGGGGGAACTGTGCCAAGGTATGTGAACAAAGTTTAATACCATGAAGCTTTGGGCAAGTTTTTATGAAAAACTGAAATGAAATGTGGCCAAGTGTGTGTATATATGTCTAATTATATACTTTATATCTAATATTTCATATATTATTTATTATGTTGTATATTTACATATATTTATATTTAACTTATTCATTCACTTATTTTCAGACCTGGCTGAACAGATCATGTTAGTACGCATACTAATAACAGCTTGAAATCAAATATTTTTAGAATGGATTTATCATGGATACTACGTTGATGCCGTATGCATCTAAATATACATTTAGTTAGTAACATATACATTTATTTGATATCTTCCAAGTTCAGAGCTCAACACTGGAGAGGCGCTTTGTGTATTTTGATGGACTGGATACCTGCAACTGTGGAGGTCTGCTTTGAGAATGGGTCATTCTGGAATGGATCGCCTACAACAAACAAAAAGAAAGCAGGAGATGTGTTTAGTAGCTACTACAAAGGCTTCAAAAGCGTGGCCCCAGAAATGTGCCACCCAACCACCAGTAAACAGAAATTTGAAATTAAACATTTAAGTATTTACTGTTAGTACAGCATCCTGACCCATCTCTAAGGAAGGGAGGTATTTAATTTGAGCAGAACAAAAGGGAAAAATAAAAATATATATAATAATAAATACATGACCTACCTTTGAATGGGTCTGTTTTAAATGGGTCTTCAGACTGGAAGGGGTCCGTGTGCATCTCCTGTGGGGCGCTGTTGAACACAGTGGTTTTCACCTTGAAAGGGTCTTCCTGTAATGGGTTTAAACAAACAATTGTTGACCGTAGATGTTTGCTTTCACACTGATCTGAGGCCTCTTTTATTGATTCTCTTACAGAAGGTTTTGGGTAAGAGGTGCTGAACATGGATCAGCATAAAAGGTTAATTCCTGCCCAGAGCAAATTTGTTATGTCTGTATTGTTTTTTTTTTTCCCCAAAGACATTGTAGAAATGTTGTCACATTCATTTTATAGTTGATTATGATAACAGCTTAACCTGCTAACTTTAAACCCAGATGTCTAAGAAGTAGGCCAACACTATGTTAGGGGTCCAGCCGAAAATAAGAAAAATAAGAAAAGATGGAAAGCTGAAAAAAATGAAAAATGATGGAAAAAAAAATTGAAATTAGAATCTTGAAGTATAAATTTCAGTCATTTTGTGCCTACAATTTGCAGTTTAAGCCAGCACCTCAGCTGTTCCAAATAACATAAGAAGCTCTGTTAATAGTGCTGGGTTTCCAAATTGTACCTTTGCATGCAAGGCATAACTCAGAAAGAAAAGCCAGCAAAGTTCTCCCTCAGAAACCAGAGAATGTCAACAGGAGTTCAATCACAATCACACAGGGAGTGAGCTTCATGATTCTTCAGAAATACTCTGGGTTTTAAACTTAAATTAGAAAAAACAGTAAGTGACAAATAACTGTGCAACTATGAAACTTAATATAATCATAAAGAAATGTAATCAGTCAGGCCTGTTCCCGTTTAAAATGCATGTATATACGTGTATGTGTGTGTGTGTTTATGTGACATATGAGGACACAAATTTGTATAATGACATGGGTATGACATAGGTATTACAAGGAGAAGGTGACTTATGAGGACATTACCCCATGTCCCCATTTTTCAAAACGCTTATAAATCATACAGAGTGAGTTTTTTTGAGGAAGAAAAAATGCACAAAGTTTCCTGTAAGGGGTAGGTTTAGGTGTAGGGCAATAGCACATACAGTTTGTACAGTATAAAATCCATTACGCCTATGGAATGTCCCCACAATTCACAAAAACAAACGTGTGTATGATAAAAAAAATATATATACTTGTATTAATTTTATATTTTGTATTATTTTTAAACATGCTTGTAGTATTATTTTATATAATAAATAGTATATAATTTTTTATAACAATTACATAAATACTTATAAATATAAATATTTATTAAATAAATAACAATAATGCCAAAAACAATTATATAACAATATATAAAAGTGTGTGTTTTTGTTTTATGTTTAAAAAAAAGTAATAAAAATAAACATGTATTAATATATATGTTAATTACTTTTATTTTTTTTAAACAAATATAAATAATAATACATTTATATTACATTTAGTCATTTAGCAGATGCTTTTACTAAAACATCAACTAATTATATAAATATGATTTCTTTTATTGCCATTCTAAGTACTAAATTTGGAGAGGAGCTTAAAATACAATGTAAACTTTCTCACCATAGCTCCGAAACCGCCATTCTCCTTCTCTGGAAAGCCTTCGCTCATGTCGGCCAGGTTGGTCATGCTGCCGCCGTGGGTTCCGTTCAGGGTGCTGCTGTACTGCTCGATGCTCTTGCTGATCTCGTGTTGGCTGTCCTGGATCTGGGAGAGTTTACTCCGAGCCTGCAACATACACACATCAGTTTTTATTCCATTATATACTGAAACGCTTAGCACATTTTCTTTTTTCTGGCATTATTAGATAAAGCAGTTTCTGGTGGCTGCCTTCTAGTGTCATAAGCAACCCTATATGCATGAATGCATTTGAAATCTTGACATCTTTTAAGTGTTCGTCACCCCTAGTGGTTTGAATATAAAATGCTTTGAAGGCACAACCTGGTTGATCTCGTCCTGTGTGGCTCTGAGGGACTTTATGATGGTTTCTAGCTGAATCCTGCCAGCTTGTAGACTCTGCTCTAGCTGAGCTTCCTCCTGCTGCAGACGGTTCAGGTCAGCCTTGGCCCGGCCCAGCTCTTCCTCTTGGCTCTGCAGGTCCAACTCCTGCGAGTGGATCTGGGACTGTAGGGATGAGATCTGAACAGAAATAGATTGGATGTGTTTAATGTTTATTGTCACTGACAAAGTGTTGGCTGAGGATCTTGTAATCCTGTCTTCTCAAGGTTTTCACTCACCATTTGCGACTCTTCCTGGCACTTCTGCCGTACGTCATTAAGCATGTCTTCCAGCTTTGCCTTCTGCTGGTCCATTTCCTCCAGCCGGTCCTGAGCATCCTGCTTCTGCGCCTCAAGCTCCTGGAGGGTAGAGGTCTCTCGGTCCAGATCGTTCTGCATCTCCTGTCGATCAAACCAAATTCAGTTAATAATTAAGCCAACGTACCTCGTAATGACAAGGTAAAAAACATTTTTTTTATTTTTTTTATTATACTTTTAAATGTCTTAATATTAATTTTCACATATATTTATAATTAAGAATAAAATACTAAAAATAAAAATGCTTATTAATAATAACTTAAATATATTTGTAAAATTAATATATTTAACAGAACAATAATACAGTCAAATACTTTTAAATTTATTATATTAATAACTCTTTAAATATATTTTATAATGTATATTTTTATAATACAAATCATAGTAAAAATTATTCGTTTTATTTTATTTATAATAATAAAATACATTTATGCATGTATTTACTTTTAAATATTATTAACACTAAGAATATTTTTATTTTTGATACAAATAATAAAATGTCAATATTATTTATAATAATATATTAAAATACTTCTAAATATATGAATCATACATTATCTATATTTTTTAATTCGTACATTTATCACAGAACATAACAAAATAAAATACATTTAAATATACAATCATGTGAAAAAGTTAGGGCACCCTATTGAATTACATGGTTTTCTGTATGAGGACATAATTAAAAATTATCTGGTCCTTGGCAGGTCTTAACATTTAGAAAATAAAACCTCAGATGAACAACATCACATGACATAGCACACCGTGACATTATTTAGCAAAAATAAAGTCAAGATGGAAAAGCCATGTGTGACAAAGTTAGGACACCCTATGATTCAACTGCCTGTAGATCCACTTTTAGCAGTAATCATTTTCTGTATGACTTTATCAGTCTCTCACATCGTTCTGGAGGAGTTTCGGCTGACTCTTCTTTACAACGTTGCTCAGGTTTATTGAGGTTTGTGGGCATTTGTTTATGCACAGCTCTTGCCACAGCATTTCAGTCAGGATGAGCTCTGGACTTTGACTGGACTGCTGCAACCCCTTGATTCTTTTCTTTTCAGCCGTTCTGTTGTAGATTTGCTGGTGTGCTTGGGATCATTGTGCTGTTGCATGACCCAATCTTGGCACAACTTTAGCTGTCGGACGGATGGCCTCACATTTGACTCTAGAATACTTTGGTATACAGAGGAGTTCATGGTCGACTCAATGACTGTGAGGTGCCCAGTTCCTGTGGCTGCCATTTCTCTGAGCATTACACGGTCTGATCTTGGGGTGAATTTACATCTACGTTTAATATAATTATAATTACTATAATTATAATACAAATAACAACAAAATTATCTGTTTTAGTATATGAATATATTTATGAACGTATTTTTTAATATTAATAATACTAATAATTAATAAGTATATTTTATAATTATAATATAAAGAATAATACAATAATCTATATCACTTTTGTAATATATTTAAATGTATTTACATATTAAAATATGTTAATAATCCTTTAAGTATATTTTATAATTTACATTTATCATAGGCTAATAATAAAAATAAAATACTTTTAACAATATAAACTACATTTTACTTTACATAAATTTTTTATATAATAATTATAATAATAACAATAATAATTAAAATTACTTTAAAGGGGTCATATGATGCTTTTTTAAAGATCATTATTTTGTGTATTTGGTGTAACAGAATA